CCTTGGAAAACTTGGCACCTAAAGAAGGGACTTTTGAAAATCTGAATCCATGGGAGCAGCTGGGTCTCTATCATGTACCAAACATGAACAGTTTCACCTGACAATTGCAATTTCAAAGTCAGGTCAGTTTTTCCAATACTCAATACCCATTCTTCTAGAGACACTGGTAGACATTTCAAATAATTTCTGTATTAAATTTCTTCTTTTCTTTTTTCTTTTGGGGCTGTAGTTGTATTGAGGTTACCAGGGAATTAGTCTATTTTATTAATTAATTGCAAGAGGTGCGTATACTATGAAACAAATGAAGCCAAAAATGGCACTTAAGCTGAAAAAAGGCTAACAACCTTATATTAATGAGTCATCAGGTAGATTTAAAAATAATGTGTTATGTAACGTGGTAAATTTTATACAGCTTATGGCCCTAATTAGCCAACTAATTATCTTAAATCAGTGCAGCCACATTGTTCTTTGAAAGAAGCTGGGTTGAAACAGAGAAAAAACAGTTCTAAGTTCCAAAATGTCTCTTATACTCAAATCGTGGGGACCAGGTCTTCAGTTTCTCTTAAGCACTTTTTGCTTCACTGGGAGGGGATGTAAAACTATCCCCTCTCAGCTTTTTTCCTTCTTTTGCCCTATTCTCTTTTTTAGTCCTATCTATTTGGGACTTATATCAGTTTTTAAAGCAATATACTTAAAATACGTCCACCAGTTAGATATAATTACTTAGGTTTAACTTTAACCTAGACTTGGGGTTCTCAACCTTGTTAAACTTGAGGCACCCCTCGTTAGACTCAAGGCTCCCCTTGGAAAATACCAGCTCTTAGTGCTCACTCTGTTTTTTTAACTACAAAAAAAGCAATAGAATATTTTGTTGTTGTTGCAGAGAACTCAGGGCACTGACAGAAGTGAACATTTTTCCCTGATCTGGCCCCTGAAAGTGCCCTACAGCCATAACCTAACACAAAAGCATGGTTGCAGAGTGCTTTAAAAGCACCTGATCCCGCAACAATCTGAACCCTCATTACATGAGGGTTCAGGTAAAGGCACTCCAAAGTGGAGCATCTTCAGTATTTGCTTCTGTACATGCCAGGAGCAGGGCTTGGCTGATACAGCCCAGCCCTGTTCCCAGTGGGGTTTTTTTTAGAATAGGAGGAGGGAG